AGCAACAACATATTAAAAATGACTTTTCCACAGCACAGCAGACGCAGTGACAGAGTGACATGGAGGGACCCTTGCCCTCAGCCTCACCCGCGATGAAGATGATGCTGTGGTCGCTGGCTCTCTCGAGCACGGCACGCACTGACTCCAGTCTGGCCGGCAGCCCCCTCCAGAACCTCTGCAGCAGAACCGGCCGCAGAGAGAGCAGGTGCCCCCCCTGACTCACTCGCCAGAAATAGCGCCCTGAAGAGAGCACAGAAAAGTGGCAAATTTACTTTCCCGGCTCTCAGAGGAGAAATGCTCTTCGGGTGTGACCCATTCTGTTTCTTCTTTCTGCTGTTCGGCGTTGCGGTTTTCCTGAAGCACTTGAAAAGGATCAGCCCCATGGGATTTCATTTTTGTTTTATCATCTGCATGGTGGTGCACGGTTACAGTTATCGCATTTCCCATGGTTCAAAGGTGGCAATTTTTTTTCCTTCCCTTTAAAAGAAGCTAGAGTTCATTCGTTCGGACAAATCCTAATGAAGACGGAGAAAAGGCGTGATTCGAACAGTGAGCTTTATTGGGGTAACCCACCTGGCTGAGGCGAACAACAACCTGCTAGTCAAAATTCCTGACGGTAATGAGAGAGCCCATAGTGTGGCAGCAGAATCCTCAAGCTCCGAACACTGAAGATAGCAGACGAATGAAGGTTCGGCTGGCATATTGGGAACCGACAAGTTTGACGGTAGCGTTTCTAAATCGATTCGAGAAAGGATGTTTCCGTTTGCTCCGGAGGGTAGCGATTGTCCACCTGGGAGAGTAGAAGCGGAATCTCTAATGGAAGAAAACGGGGAATGTCTTTAAATTAGATTGGCCCAAGTGGATCGAATCTAAACCCCTTAACTTCACAGAGGCAGCACCCACGGGACTAAACACGGAGACCTAGATTCCTGGAGGAGCGGTGAGGAACGATGCTGCGATCCAAGATGTGGGAAATTTATACGAAGGTAAGCAGAAGTGACTGAGATTAAAGTCTGACCTCCTCCCCACCTTTTATTTTAAACACCACGAATGCTACCGCTATAGGAGAGTGGTGTCTGTTTTGCATCTGGTGGGGAGTCATTTTCATGAACGACTACTATGAATTCTTCAAATTCCAAGGAGTAGTCTGTGTTGTATACCAGCTCTAAGCATTTGAACATGTAGTAATACCAAGCACGCATGATGCAGGAAGTTAATGTGGCATCACCATTTTCTCCTCTCTTGAATGAAGTCCTCAGAACTACATCTCTTTCTTTGTAATAACCCAACAACAGTGGGTGCAGCTTCGTTAAGATAACCACGTTGCACTAGGGAGCAGAAAGTGCATAAACAATACAAATGCATAACAGTATGGTGTCTTGTTCTCCTTCTTGATGCACAGTCCACAGTTTGCACAGGCTTGCAGGTGTAGGACTATGCAGTACCTATAAGTTGGAAAATGCCACCGTCACAGAAAATGTTTTAGGGGAATTCTAGTCTTCAGCATTGGATGCACTGATGTCAGATTCCCATTCCTGTCATCTGAATTTCCCTGATAGCACATAATGTCCTTTTGTTCACATTAAATAATCATTTGCTTATTCATAGGCTGAAGTTCAGTTTGTGACACATGCCAACATAATACAGAACTGCGACGTGTTACAGTTTGACACAGAGGGAGCTCCTACACACAACTGGATTGAGACTGGCTACTACCTGGATGGCAGACCTCCTGGGAAAGCTAAGGCTGCTGCTGGAAGAGGTGTTAGTGGGACCAGCAGGGGGCTCTCACCCTGTGGTTTGTGTGGATCCTAATGCCCCAGTATAGTGACAGGGACACTACACTGTAAAAAGGCGCCGTCCTTCGGATGAGATGTAAAATCGAGGTCCTGATTCTCTGTGGTCATTAAAACAAAGAGTAGGGGTGTTACCCCAGTATCCTGGCCAAATCTTTCATTGGCCTTTCCAATCATGGCCTCCTAATAATACCCATCTATGTACTGGCTTCAGCACTCTTCTCTCCTCCCCTCTGATAGTTAATGTGAGGTGAGCAGACTGGTGCATCATCCAGGTGGGGGCTACATTGGAGGTGGGGAGTCCTCATTACCTGTGAAGAGCTTTGAGTGGATTGCACCCACCTTTGAAGAAGAACGTTTCTCCACGGATGCTGGCTACAGCATCAAATTCTGAGGAGCAGCGATCCGGCAGAGGACCAGGGGGTCTTGAGAGAGAAGGAAAGGGTTAACTCCGCAGTACCTCACAGGCACACTCATCAACTAGACTCAGACATGGGGGTGAGGGAAACTGTAGAGGCTCTGGGAATAAGGCACAGCCATTACAGAGTAGGGAACAGAAACTTGGGCTGGACAAGAGCTCCCTGCAGCTCCTCTAGGGGTCTTGATCATGACCTGAATAAGATCTGTGGGGAAAAGATACACTGGAAGACACATAGAATACTGCTGGTCCTAGTGGCAGAGATGTGAAGTGCAGCTGTATTACAACATCGACAGTGAGGAGTTAATATGGACCAACTAGTAGGGAATGAGGAGGCACTAGTAGATAATAGGGAACAGGGACTAGTGCATGATAGTATGGAATAGTTCATAGAGATCATTTACCAGGGAATAGGTTACAACTAATAGAGAACAGGCAGCAAGGATAGAAAATAATGAAGAAGGACTTTGTTAGGGAGCAGGAGATATGGGTATAGTGAGTAAACGAGTCATCGTTACAGAAAATTTAAAAACACAAGGATTGCCACGCACTGAGGACACAGCCAAAGAATTTCACAAAGAATTAGATACAATGCAAGAATAGAAAAAGACCTGGCAGAAGATGGTTACGGTAGACAAGTGCAGAATACAAAAAAAAAACGTTTTAAAATGGACAATAGAGAAGAAGGGGTATCTGATAAAGCAGAAGTCTGGAGTATGAGGGAGATATCTAGCCTATAACTTGAAAAATTGTACTTGACATTGTTTTAGTGTTAATGTCTAATGCAGCACATTCATATAATAATGTAAAGGAACAAGTAATAGGTTTATTCCATGTTGAAAAAAAGAAGAAAACACAACGTTTCTGCCATGGAGCCTTCTTCAGGTGTGTCATAGGTATGGAATAAACCTATTACTTGTTCCTTTGCAGCCTACGCATGCTGACGCAGCGACCCACCTAAAGTACAGTAAATACTATTATGTGTTCAATACAAATGTGTATGTGTTGCTTACAATGGTCAGATACGAATAAGTCCGAAAATTGTCCAGACAAATGTTTTAGGGGGAAAAACTGACTTTGATCAAGCTCTGTGCAATTTAACCACATTCCAATATAATTAAGATAGCTGTATTACCATACATGTAACTAGATACAACAAAGCTTGAACTATAATTGCAAAATGGTAAATGCTGAGCTAGAAGAGGCTACATATGAGAAAAAGACTCAGGTGTTTATGTTGACTCATCATTTACATCTTCAACATAATGTAGGGAAGCAGTTGAAAAAGATGTTTGATGTCCTTGTATATGAGGATGTTTTATTAATATTGTGTAGGGCACTAGTAAGGCCTCGTTTAATATATTGTGTACAATTTTGCAAATCACTTAATAGGTTTTATATTACTGCTCTGGAATTTGTCCAGAGAGTCCATAGAAGTCAAACAGATACACTTCAGAACTTAAGGCACAATATACTGGTAGTATGAAGTAACTGAACTCTTTAGTCTTAAGGGAGTGTCCCACACTGACAAGCTGAAGGAACTTAATCTCTTTAGTTTTAAGGGACTGTCCTACACTGACTGGCTGAAGGAACTGAATCTCTTTAGTCTTGAACGGAGAAGATTGCAAGAGAACCTGATGCAGTGTGGAACGTATTTCCCAGCCATATTGCCGGAGCTGATACCCTGGCTTCTTTCAAGTAATCGGTGGATGAGATTTTTGGATGCCCGCTTCTCTTACAGCAACGTTCTTGTGATCTTATGAGCGGTTTAGGGGAGGAGGGGTTGAAAGCAGGGAATCATGGAAACAATTATTACCTGGCTGTGTGCCGATGGAGAGGTGGGCGGGTCAGGGCTGTTGGGATCACCAGACTGGGAGACTCTGAGCTCAGGAGATGCTCCCTCTTTCCTGAGGCACACAGAGAGCACATGGCATTACCATGATGGAAGAGACATGGGTACTTTGTGTGCCATCGCTGCACTCTCTGTAATGTCTTTCAGTCAGTTTCTGTGTATAGAGATAGGGTGCGCAAAAAGAGGTTAAGAATGTGTGGTGTTAGCCTAGATGCAGACAGATGACTGTCCCCTGGGGTGAATGTGCTTTCCATGACTGGAGCCACTCTATTCCAGCAGAGTGGAATACTAGGAAGGGCTCCGGTCTTCTGATGGCTACGTTGGGGGATGGAATTCCAATTGGGTTACTGTCCCTGTACCCCAAGAGTATCTAAGTGAGTTTTCCTCAGTAAGATTCCCCAAGGTCTGTATGGCTACAAATGTAACCCACTTTGGATAAATGCAACAGCTTAATTAATAATAGAAACCTCTACTCTGTCTTTACAGACAGTATGTGTTCCCTATGTCCAGTGTGCACTGGTGGTATGTGTCCACTATGTCCAGAGTTCACTGCACTGTATAGAATGTATTCATTATATGATTTGATTTACCATATAGCCTTAAGATTTCTCTTCTGTCCTCCGGGCTCAACTGATATTGCAGTGGGTCACCAACCGGGCCTTGGTAGTATGGCCGCATGATTGACCGGCGTGCAGACGAATGGGAGAGCCCAAGAGCGTGGCCAAACTCATGCACCGCCACGGTGAACAGGTCAGTCCCCTGAGATTCTGGGGAAACAAACTGTAGCTAAATGTTGTTCCTCTGCATTGCAATGTTTTGCACTGTGTGAGCTACCGAGAACGCGTGAGGTGTCAGTAGGTATACCGCCACAAGCACCACAGTGTCACAG